ACAGCAGTAACTAACATCTCCAGTTGTCACATTATATATTAATATAACCCACTCTAAACAACATATAATTAATCACACACAACCCGCATGACGTTAAACCCAACACACAACTATGTTAACTAAGCAAGCTGGAAAAAAAACAGAGAATAACCCAGTGTCACCACACAACTTGACAGGATCAAGACACCTAGACACGGAAATTTGCTCACCAAAAATATTGCAACCTCCCAGAGCCTTAGCTTACGTGTCTCAAACATATACGTGTATATATACTGTGCAACCAAAGCTTAATCTTTCATACGAGTAAGTCTGGCGTCAGGTGATATTCCCTGAGGAATATATACAGAAGAAGAAGAAGGTTATCATCACTACCATCACCCAGGATAATAATGGTGAGGAATTTCTCGATATAGTTTTTCTTAAGCATTAAGTGATAACTAAGAAAGTATTTACTGCAAGTATTAGTACATATTCAAAGTAATTAACTAAGCGTTAATTTCAGCAATTACCGCAGAGTCGCTAGGGAAAAAATTAGGATAACAAGGAAGGAATAAAGCAAGAATACCAGTCACCTACAATGACTACAATAGAGTACCAAGGAACACAAGGAATAATATTCGAAGCAAGTGTAGAAAATACAGAGGAAGTACAAGGAGAAATACAAGAGGGAAGTTACAAGGGAAATACAAGAGGAAGTATACAGAGAGAGAGAAATAACAAGGGACAGTACCAGAGAAATACAAGAGGAAGTACAAGGGAGAAATACAAGAGGTGAAGTGTAACAAGATGAGAATATACAAGATGTCAAGTACAAGGAGAATTATCAAATGGAAGTCAAGAGGGAAAATTAGATAAGGAGGAATACAAGGAGAAATACAAGAGGAAGTACAAGTGAAATACAAAGGAGTACAAGGAAAATACAAGAGGGAAGGACAAGGAGAAATACAAGAGGGAAGTACAAGAGAGAAATGCAAGAGAGGAGTACAAGGGAAAATACAAGGACTACAAGAGAGGAATACAAGGCAAATATTATAACGGATGGAGAGAAATAGTATAACGCTGACTGTGTGGGCGAAACATCGTCTTTAAAAATCTCAGTATGCTACATTTCTCTCTCATGTAATGTAGGAGTTTTACTTCAGAGTGAGACAGATAAGAACAGTGAGAATGTTATGTATCTGAGGGAAACTCTAAACCCGTTAGGGCTATACATTTACCAGGGGGGTAAACAAGTCAGTCAGGTTTGATTCGAGGCAGGGCAAAGCAGCTCCAATTCCTCGAATCAAGAACCCCCACCCCAGTATAAAGGGCGTCAGTTCTGAAGGATGTCATCTCGCGACCCACAGATGCTGCGTGATGCTCTGAGTGCTGCTGTGCTGGTTGCTGTGGCGGCGCTGCTGTCAACTGCTGCACCAGCACCGCAATTTTTATTTCCTGGTCAGTGTACTTTACTTTATCTTGACATTACTGATATAATAAAGAAAGTAATAAAGACGTGTAAGTCGCAGCCTTGTTGTGATGCTGTTAGTGTGATGGAAAATGTGTGAGTTTGTTGTATTAAAGTCTACAGTACATCATGCTATGTTTAGTGTATGTATTTCTCTCTCTCTCTCTCTCTCTCTCTCTCTCTCTCTCTCTCTCTCTCTCTCTCTCTCTCTCTCTCTCTCTCTCTCTCTCTCTCTCTCTCTCTCTCTACATGGGGGTTTACAAGGTTAGGTTAAGGTTTCTAACTTTATTTACAAGCTAAGACCTGTTACCTACACCAGCTCATTTGAAAGCCCTTTTATTTTGAAATAAACAAACAGAGACCAGGATGAAGTTGAAGCCATCTAATCATCTGTGCATATCTGCAGGTATCAGCGGTGGGTTGTTCCCCGGAGGTGTTCCATGTCGTTACTTCAGCAGGAACCCCATCACTGGTCGTATTGACGTGTGTACTCAGACACCAGACCAGACCTCTGGCTTCTTCCAACCTCAGTTCCTTCCCAACAACTTCTTTAGCTTTTAGCACCCCATTCTAACGTGTGTGTACTCGCCTAGTTGTACTTGCCTAGTTGTGGTTGCAGGGGTCGATTCACAGCTCCTGGCTCCGCCTCTTCACTGGTCACTACTATGGGTCCAGGGACTGTACCTCAACATTACAGAGGTACAAAATAGGTCCAGGGACTGTACGCCAACATTACAGAGGTACAAAATGGGTCCAGGGACTGTACGACATTACAGTGGTACACAATGGGTCCACGGACTGTACGTCAACATTACAGAGGTACGCAATGGGTCCAGGGACTGTACCTCAACATTACATAGGTACACAATGAGTCCAGGGACTGTACCTCAACATTACAGAGGCACACAATGGGTCCAGGGACTGTACCTCAACATTACAGAGGCACACAATGGGTCCAGGAACTGTACCTCAACATTACAGAGGCACACAATGGGTCCAGGGACATGTACCTCAACATTACAGAGGCACACAATGGGTCCAGGGACTGTACCTCAACATACAGAGGCACACAATGGTCCAGGACTGTACCTCAACATTACAGAGGCACACAATGGGTCCAGGGACTGTACCTCAACATTACAGAGGCACACAATGGGTCCAGGGACTGTACCTCAACATTACAGAGGCACACAATGGGTCCAGGGACTGGGCCACTGTTTCCTGACAGCTGAACAACCTAACAGTGGTACGCAACTTTGTACATGGCACTACAAGGTGTTTCAAAAGATGGATCCAATTTTAAAGCAATTTGCTTTAAAATCGGTCCATCTTTCTGAAACACCCAAAATATCACTAGTATTCTTTGTCTCCTGTATCGTATATGTGTAAATATATAAGCTGGAAATAATATTGTTTGAATTTATATTATCCTATTTTAAATAAACATTTATGTACTTTTTAATGTACTCAATGTACTTTGATCTTCAATAAAACTTAAAAATTCGTTGTATGAGCAAGGTACGTTTTTTTAACGAAAGTTTATTAACGAAGACGAAATATACGTTAATATGTTGGTAGAAGATAATGTTAAAATAAGATTTGTTGATATTTTTAACCTAGAGTGTTAGCCACCCAGGATAACCCGGGGTAGGGAGGGTTAGCCACCCAGGATAACCCGGGGAAGGGAGGGTTAGCCACCCAGGATAACCCGGGGTAGGGAGGGTTAGCCACCCAGGATAACCCGGGGTAGGGAGGGTTAGCCACCCAGGATAACCCGATGAAGGGAGGGTTAGCCACCCAGGATAACCCGGTGAAGGGAGGGTTAGCCACCCAGGATAACCCGGTGAAGGGAGGGTTAGCCACCCAGGATAACCCGGGGAAGGGAGGGTTAGCCACCCAGGATAACCCGGGGAAGGGAGGGTTAGCCACCCAGGATAACCCGGGAAGGGAGGTTAGCCACCCAGGATAACCCGGGGAAGGGAGGGTTAGCCACCCAGGATAACCCGGGTAGGGAGGGTTAGCCACCCAGGATAACCCGGGGAAGGGAGGGTTAGCCACCCAGGATAACCCGGGGAAGGGAGGGTTAGCCACCCAGGATAACCCGGGGAAGGGAGGGTTAGCCACCCAGGATAACCCGGGGTAGGGAGGGTTAGCCACCCAGGATAACCCGGGGTAGGGAGTGTTAGCCACCCAGGATAACCCGGGGAAGGGAGGGTTAGCCACCCAGGATAACCCGGGAAGGGAGGGTTAGCCACCCAGGATAAACCCGGTAAGGGAGTGTTAGCCACCCAGGATAACCCGGGAAGGGAGGGTTAGCCACCCAGGATAACCCGGGGAAGGGAGGGTTAGCCACCCAGGATAACCCGGGGTAGGGAGTGTTAGCCACCCAGGATAACCCGGGAAGGGAGGGTTAGCCACCCAGGATAACCCGGGAAGGGAGGGTTAGCCACCCAGGATAACCCGGGGAAGGGAGGGTTAGCCACCCAGGATAACCCGGTAAGGGAGGGTTAGCCACCCAGGATAACCCGGGGAAGGGAGTGTTTAGCCACCCAGGATAACCCGGGAAGGGAGGGTTAGCCACCCAGGATAACCCGGGGAAGGGAGGGTTAGCCACCCAGGATAACCCGGTGAAGGGAGGGTTAGCCACCCAGGATAACCCGGTGAAGGGAGGTTAGCCACCCAGGATAACCCGGTGAAGGGAGGGTTAGCCACCCAGGATAACCCGGGGTAGGGAGGGTTAGCCACCCAGGATAACCCGGTGAAGGGAGGGTTAGCCACCCAGGATAACCCGGTGAAGGGAGGGTTAGCCACGACCCAGGATTAACCCGGGTAGGGAGGGGTTAGCCACCCAGGATAACCCGGTGAAGGAGGGTTAGCCACCCAGGATAACCCGGGGAAGGGAGGGTTAGCCACCCAGGATAACCCGGGGAAGGGAGGGTTAGCCACCCAGGATAACCCGGTGAAGGGAGTGTTAGCCACCCAGGATAACCCGGGAAGGGAGGGTTAGCCACCCAGGATAACCCGGTGAGGGAGTGGTTAGCCACCCAGGATAACCCGGGAAGGGAGGGTTAGCCACCCAGGATAACCCGGGGTAGGGAGTGTTAGCCACCCAGGATAACCCGGGGAAGGGAGGGTTAGCCACCCAGGATAACCCGGGGTAGGGAGTGTTAGCCACCCAGGATAACCCGGGGAAGGGAGGGTTAGCCACCCAGGATAACCCGGGGTAGGGAGTGTTAGCCACCCAGGATAACCCGGGGAAGGGAGGGTTAGCCACCCAGGATAACCCGGGGTAGGGAGTGTTAGCCACCCAGGATAACCCGGGGTAGGGAGGGTTAGCCACCCAGGATAACCCGGGGTAGGGAGTGTTAGCCACCCAGGATAACCCGGGAAGGGAGGTTAGCCACCCAGGATAACCCGGTAGGGAGTTAGCCCACCAGGATAACCCGGGATGGAGGTTAGCCCCCAGGATACCCGGGTAGGGTTAGCCACCCTGTAACCGCGGGGTGTTAGCCACAGGATACGGGAGTTACACAGGTACCTAGGGAGGTTAGTACCCGAAACCTGGGTGGGTCACCAATCCTGGGGAAAAATTAGCACCAGATTACCTGAAATGAGTCAGCACCCAGGGACTAACCGTAAAGTTAGCCACCATGATAACCGGTCAGTATGGTCTAGCCACAGATTCGATATAGACTTTAGAACAACCAGAGATATTATTAGGTGTTAGTACGATTATCGGTAAGGGGTTGAGCACCAGAAATGAAAGGAAGGGACGGTAACTATCCATTATTAACCGAGTTCCACCCAGAACCCGGCATGTGTTACAATGAAAGCGCCGCCTAGGGACGTCTACCACCCAAGGCATATGTATTATGGAGTTTACCTAGTGTTTGTGAGTACCTGTGAGTGAGTGCCTTAGTTCAAGTGTTCCGTGAAATGTTTAAGCCGATTACTGTGTTTGTAAGGTAGTGTGATCCGTATTTTTGTGTGTAAAGTGTTAGCAGATTTTTACCTGTGTGGTTGCCAGGTACCGTGGTATGTGTGGGAGATGCGGGGTTGGGTTGTGTTAGCCCGGATAGTAGGTGAGTGTGTATGGTTAGATTCTCCAGTGTAATTCGGTGAATGTAATCTAGAGACGTAGGGGGGGTAGCCATTCCTGTACTACACGTGAAGGCACGATATAGCTACTCACTAGAATCAAGATCCTTAATTTTCTCATCCAAATTAACGGGGAGATTACATCCAATACACATGAGCATGTTCCATCCTACTCCTCGTCCCGGGTAGATTAAACAGTGTACACAAGTTCACAGTGTTACGGTGGCGTGTTTATGACCCAGGATAACCGCGTGAGGGAGGTATTACCCTACAGGAAAAACCCCGTGAAGGGAGTTTGCACCAGGATACCCGGAAGGAAGTGTTAAGCCACCCAGGATAAACCCCGGGAAGGAGGGTTAGCCACCCAGGATAACCCGGTGAAGGGAGTGTTAGCCACCCAGGATAACCCGGGGAAGGGAGGGTTAGCCACCCAGGATAACCCGGGGTAGGGAGTTTTAGCCACCCAGGATAACCCGGGGTAGGGAGTGTTAGCCACCCAGGATAACCCGGGGTCGGGAGTGTTAGCCACCCAGGATAACCCGGGGAAGGGAGGGTTAGCCACCCAGGATAACCCGGGGTAGGGAGTGTTAGCCACCCAGGATAACCCGGGGTAGGGAGTGTTAGCCACCCAGGATAACCCGGGGTAGGGAGTGTTAGCCACCCAGGATAACCCGGGGTAGGGAGGGTTAGCCACCCAGGATAACCCGGGGTAGGGAGGGTTAGCCACCCAGGATAACCCGGGGTAGGGAGTGTTAGCCACCCAGGATAACCCGGGGTACGGAGTGTTAGCCACCCAAGATAACCCGGGGTAGGGAGGGTTAGCCACCCAGGATAACCCGGGGTAGGAAGTGTTGCCACCAGGATAACCCGGGGTACGGAGTGTTAGCCCACCCAAGATAACCCGGGGTAAGGAGTGTTAGCCACCCAGGATAACCCGGGGTAGGGAGTGTTAGCCACCCAAGATAACCCGGGGTAGGGAGTGTTAGCCACCCAGGATAACCCGGGGTAGGGAGTGTTAGCCACCCAGGATAACCCGGGGTAGGGAGTGTTAGCCACCCAAGATAACCCGGGGTAGGGAGTGTTAGCCACCCAAGATAACCCGGGGTAAGGAGTGTTAGCCACCCAGGATAACCCGGGGTAAGGACTGTTAGCCACCCAGGATAACCCGGGGTAGGGAGTGTTAGCCACCCAGGATAACCCGGGGAAGGGAGTGTTAGCCACCCAGGATAACCCGGGGTAGGGAGTGTTAGCCACCCAGGATAACCCGCGGAAGGGAGTGTTAGCCACCCAGGATATCCTAGCATTAAGTAGGTACCTGGATGTTAGTCACCTTACACCTGCTGTCCCTGTTCACTTACCAGTAAAATAAGTACCTGGGTGTTAGTCGACAATGGTGTGGGTCGCATCCTGGGGAACAAAATTAACCTAATTTGCCTGAAATACTCAGCATAACAAGGGACTTTCTATATAGTATGTCGCTGACGTCAGCTATGGTCTGTATAAGTTGCATCATGTACTTGTAAAAATAGAGATTATTATTATTGTTGTTATTTTGTGAGGTGAGAGACAGAAATGAAAAGGAAGGGACGGAACTATTCCATTATTTATTACCTTCCCAACCCACCCCTCCCATGTGTACTAATGAAGACTGCCGCCCAGTGCCTCTCCACCCACAGGCATTGTATTTGTGACTGTTTTCTTGTGTTTGTGAGTGTCTGTGATGTGAGTGCCTTTGTTTGTGTGTCTGTAAATTTTTAAGTTCGTATTTCTGTGTTTGTAAGTATGTGTGATTGTATTTTTGTGTGTTAAGTGTTTGAGAGTTTTTCTGTGTGTGCTTGCTCGTGGTTATGTGTGTGAGTGCGTGTTTGTGGTTGTGTGTGTTTCTGTGTTTGTGAGTGTGTATGTGTTTTTTCTCGTGTATTTGTGAATGTATCTGAGAGAGAGATGGGTGGACT